ATCCTAGCATTTCAGTTCTGAATAGTCACTCCTTTCTCAGAGCACACATTTGCACCATTACAAATACAAAACCAGAACTGGGGTACCATATTCTGTGTCTCCTTAGGGCCTTTCCAAATCTAAAATTGTCTATATCTACGTATTTCACTGAATGAATTCAGAACCAGCTCTGCCACTGCAGCTAGTTCTGAATGCATTCAAAAAGGCCTTATCCATCTTAAAGACTAGGGCAAAGTGTCAAGTGTCAGAAAAGCAACATACTTCAATGAAAAGAATCTAATAAAAGCTAATGTGGGAATTCTGGTTCCTTCTGGCATCAAGAGGCAGATTGACTCATGTTTTTCCTTTCTGGCTAAGCACTGAGTAATTAAAGGCCAAGTGCGGCTGTGATCCAGATCCCCTGCATGCCAGGGAGTTCTGACCTTACCTCATGCCCCACTAAGATGGCAAACAGCACAGGGAAGCTTTGGCCTCAGCTGCCGGAGAGCCTACATGACTCTGACTGATGCACAGGCCCCAGATGGGGGGGGGGGGTAAGAGCAGAATTGCTATTTTTCTTTTAAATTGTGTTGACAACCCATTATGAGTTGTGAGCTTACTAGTTAGAATCTAATCCAGGGTAGCTCACCTGGTGACTTAATTTGAACCAGTCAAATAACATGCTGTAGAGGAATGAGAATGAAGAGGATGAGGGGCTTGGGTTGGAGTGCAGGATCACACACGCACATCCACCCCAGTACTCTCCTGCCTTTCCTCCAGAGATGCTGTCTCTGCCCAGCTGTCTGTCCAAATCCCTTCACTAGACATTTAAGATGCAAAACCCAAGGGCCAGATGGCACCATCATCACTGTGCACAGTCCCATAAGGCTCATGAACTCAACTTGACGTCGTGGCCACGTGGCTTCCCTATAAGGCAGCTGACTCTGGCAGGATGCCCCAAAGTGAGGGAATGTACCTGATGTGCAGATACCCAGAAATGCCAAGGCTGGAACCATCTTTGTTTTCCCACCCAGGAGGCTGGGAGGCAGACACGATGGCAACAGAGTATGAGGAAACTGGGAAAAGCAGCTGCTGGCCCTTCAGTGTAAAATAATTCTCAAACAGAAGAATCCCTCTTTTTCAGATAGAAAAAGATAGAAGAGAAAGGTTTCATAGATCCAGTCACTCACCAGACTTTTCTTGAAACCTCAAGGAGGAAAAGGCAGAGTCAGGACATTTATAGTTGGCAAACACTCTGTGTCTCCATATGGCCCAGAAAGTGGGGTGTTGTGAGAGCAGTGGAATGAGGGAGAAACATGCCCAACTTCTGCCAAAACTCTGCCCATATCTCTATACAGGTATCTGGCTGAAGGCAGGAGACCTGAGTGTTCTTATAAATGCTTTATAATGTAAAAGTGTGCTGGGAGGAACAGGAAAGTTGCAATAGGAGTATCTTTCCATTTATTTCCTCATTTCCTGTTATGCTCATACTTAGAAAATAAATCCCCTTCCCTTCCTCCTCAAAAGTCAATAATAAAGTTCCCAAACAGAATTTGTCAGGTTTACATTATAAAGAATCCCTTCACTTGAGGTATGCAGCTATAGAAGAATAGAGAGTTCTCTTCAGCCACTACATAAACAACATATATGCTTATAGAAAACATACATGATGGCAGTGCAGATCTCTGCAGGAGGGTTCAGGGGACCACGCAGCTTTCTTTGAGAATTCAGCTACAGGCCATTCCCTCCCCTTGGTTAGGGGTATTGCTCTTGAGACTTGGGTTGGGTTCTGAGAAGATCCTGGCTGGTAGCGGTAAAAGGGATGCCAAGTCACCTCTGACTTCTGAGGCATCATGTGAACATGTTACCATGACAGTCATCAACAACTCTGCTCAAACTGAGCACCAGCCTGAGCAGAAGCCTCTGTAGTAGCCTCTCCTCAAAAGGAGAAGAGAGAGACAGGGCAGGAGGAGTAAGGTCATCTCTGAATGGTAGGCATTCCCAGGGGTAAATACATGGGTTATAACAATGAAAGCTGCAACTGCAAGGAGGGGGGTCCTTGAAAAGCCTGTAGAAAACCCCACATTTGGCCTCTTGTTGGCTTGAGCCCCGTACCATGGCTCAGCAGTGCAACACAGGCTCCCTTCTGCTGTCTGCCCCAGGCCAGGCCCTCACTCTGCTGGCAGATGGGACCCTGGCCAACCCTACCAAAGTGATGGGAGAGCTGAATTCTCTGGTGCCCTTAATGCGGAAGGGGAGAGAAGAGAGTTAGGAAGCATGGTGCATGAGCGAGAGAAAGCATTACCTGGACCTCAGCAATGTGACAAAGGCCAGAGGACAGGGGTGTGAGCCTGTTCCATGAGCAGGAGAAAGGGGAGTGGAAATGTGCATGGCCAGCTTGGAAGGATGGTAACAAAAGAGTGGATGGAGAAGGGTGAGCAAGTACCATTTACATTTCCAGGGAAATTAAGAAAAAGTTCAGGAAGTGACATCACTAAAAGCAAGTGATGGATCATTACTCTCAATCCATCACATAAGTGTGGACCCCAGAACCAGGGGATTCTTGGGGTTCCCTGCACTGTACCTGGTCTGAGGACCAACAGAGAGGCTTCGGTTCCGGGGCTGTTAAGGCTTCCCCTGCCACCAGCACCAAAGCCACCACCGCCATGTTTTCAAAGGGCACAAAAAAAGAACAAGATAGATGACAACCCTCCAGCCCACTGTTAACACTCTGGATCTGAGGAGAAACAGATGGGCTGTGGACATGGGGCAGGCATGCAGAGGCTTCCTCTAAAATGTACCTCCTCCCCATGGGCACCTACGTACCTGCCTGGTTACCAGGCACAGGGTGTGTATGTGTGTGTGTAAAACAACCAAGTCATGGAAACCAGCCTGCGTTCATCTTCAACTATTTGCACACATTATATATCAACACATACTTGGCTCCAATATTTGGACTTCAGGATGCGATGAGAGAATGGAAGGATAAGGAAGGGAATTAACATTTATTGATCATTCACACTGCATCAGGCTTATGTGCTAAATGCTCCACACACATAATTTCGACTCCATTTCATAAATGAAAACTGAGGTTAAGAGGGTTACTATTCTTGCTATGTTGCTCTAGGACATGGTGCAGGTAAGTAAAGTGGCTGTGATTCACAGCAGGGCCTGCATGAGTCCATAGCCCACACCTGCCTCCCACTCTGCCCTGTTGCCCCCATGAGCTCTATTCTTCCTAAAGATGGGGAGGGTTCTTTCCCATATACTTCTCCATCCTTGTCTTTTGCTTCCTCAAAAAGAGACAAACTACTTTAAGGAGATCAAAATAAGAAAGAAGAACAATATGGTGAATAATATATGCAAATGAATTGATAAAATGAGAAGGGGACTTGACCTTTTAAAAACTCCAGGATGATATTTATCCTTAACAAAGTAAGTAGGGCTCCTTGGGAAAAAGACTTTAATGCTTTTTTCTAAGAAGGAGGAAGAGGAGCTGGGAGTCCCCTTGGTAGAGAGTCAGACTTGCCTTGATTTTTATCTTGAGGTGAGAGTTTTTGGGAAAATATCATGCATTTGTGAAATTTCCTTGGAAATAGCTTAGCCATGTCTAATAGGAGGCTTTCTTGTTGTAAGAGACACAGGTGATTCCATGTCACTCTAGTGGTGGGGGGTTAATATACTGGTGTCCATGGGGGACAAGGTATACTGAAACTGTCCTGCCAGCCCAGCCCACAGTCACCAGCCACATTCAACCTGGCTCTCCCCTTTGGAGGGTCCCCCATGGCTGGGACAGCAATGCAAAGAGCCCACTTCTAGGTTCTGGAAGATCTTAAGTTCTGAGGACAGCTGGAGACCTTTCATCTCTCTACAGAGAGCTCCCCACCCACAGCCACTTGGGGAATATTCCTTCCTAACTTTCATCCCACTTCTTTCTCTGCCAGGATGGACAGAAACAGAAGCTAATGGGTGTTTGGGGAGGAGAGGGGGATGGATGAGCCCTTTCTGACCCCTCGGACCTGGGAAGGTCAAACTTATGCGGCAGTTTTGCTATCACTGACAACAACTCCCAAATGCTTTCCTTCTGCTTCCTTACAGTGCAGCAGCCGGACCTGCTCAGATGCCTCAGCTCTCTCTTGTACTTGGAGAGGCTGCAGGGAAGTCGGCCATGCCACCTGGAAAAGGGTGAAACTCATCTAGCAGTGCAACGAGGTACAGAAAGAGCCCACACGGCTGTTGTTCATCTTCTGGGCACTCTACACACCAGCTTAGGGAGAGGGCCCTGACCGTGCGCATGTCCTAGCTCTACCCTGGAGGGCCATGACATCCCCTTCCTTGCCTGGATGCCACGGGAAATGTCAGAATGCAGTTGAAAACCTGCTACAGGTGGATCAATGTTTGGGAAAAAAAACTCCCCAAATGTAATGAGCATGGTTTAGTCACCTGAATGGTTTAAGACTGTTTTCCTCAGTGCATTATCAAGGAAGCTGCGGAAGTCTTACGTTCCTGAGTTAAACGTGTTAACATGGTCCTTAGGTCTAGAAAATACCTCTGGGGTCCCGCTGCTCATGAGCAGAGAATCTTCTCATACTCAAGGTTCTGTAATCTCAACTTTGTTCTATCTTCTGCATTTGTCTTCCAAGCTGATCCTTTGTTTGACATAACCAAGAAATGAAAGGGTACATGAGCTGTCCCCTGGGTCCCTCCCTGAGCCCACGGAGGCACTGCCCACATGGGTGAGGGCCTGCCTATGTTTATTCATCTCCAAGAAAGGAACTCCAGGGCCTCTGACTTCTCCCTAGGGATCACCCCCCACCACCAGTGCTACCACTTAGGGCATGTGAGCTGAAGCTATAAGGCTCCCAGGAGTACCACAGAGGGCAAGTGGGAAGCATATTTCCAGGGCAGCTTTCTTTGGCACCACTTGGAGTGAACCTGGCCTTGAGAAGGCCTCAAATCAGTCAGAGTTTCAGGAAGAAGGGACAACAGGAAATTGAACAAGAAGAAAGAGTAACACTTACGCCAAAGCAAAGGCCACCAATGCGCCAACCACCACCACAAAGTCCAGGATGTTCCACAGGTCTCGGAAGTAGGACCCATCCTGCAGGATCAAGCCCTGGTCTATCATCTGAAGAAGAAGGACATGAACAACTATGGATGAGCCCACAGGTGCTTGCAACGCACCCAGAGCTCATTGTTCCCCGGGACAATGCCTCTATTGCCATTGTCTCCACAATCAACCCTGCACAAGGACCTGAAGAGCAGGAGGACAGGTCCTACAGGCTCTCTCCACCTAACTATGAAGTCCAAGGCCCCTTGTCATAGCCACCAGGGTTCAACTAGACTCCTTGGCTCTCACAGAACCCTGCCACATTCCTCTTTCAATTAGTGGCTCAGAGCACCAGGCATCACCACATATGCACAGATGGGAAAACTCCAGATGGGAGAGGCTATGAATAAGACAGAATTGTGGGGTGTTAGGGCGGTGGGGAATGGACTAGTAAGCAATGAGTGCAGACGGGACTACATGGAGTCGAGGAAGATTCACCCCACCTGACCCTTTGCCTTGGCGTAAAGCAGGGAGTGCACTGGAGAGGCAAAGACCATCCCCACATCTGTCTGCACCCCTACTGCTTGCCTGAGAGCTGGCCTGGCTCCCCCTTGGGCCATACCCACAGATCTGCCCCAGTCCAAACAGATCCACACAGTCACGCTGTGCCATGAAGTCTGGTCAGGACAAACTTCATTAAATTCTGAGGCCAGAAGAGGGGTTGCCAGAGGCCCTACTGAGGTCTGTCATTGGCTGGTAGGTGGCAGCACTGGGGAAGGACCCCATACTGAAGGGGCAGACCTAGGTCCCATCCAAACCCTGGAGAACCCAGCTTTTCTATGGAGGTTTTTACCTTTATAACCATCTCAAAGGTGAACACGCCAGTGAAAACATAGTCAAAATACCTCAGGACCTGTAAGACACATATGGTGAAGGGGAAGAGGATCATGTGTGGCCACCAGGCTATAGAGCCTTCTGGCTACCCACACACGTGCAGTCCTGCATCCCTGCCCCAGCTCATTTCTACCTCAGAACAGAAGCTTGGGATTGTAACTGCTAGTCGGGCACAGGGAGGAGAGGTGCCGTGTGTTCTGCTATAGCCTCAGGACCCGATGGCCAGTCCTTGGCTCTTCCCTCCCCCTTGGCCAGAACTTAATTCCCTGGGTCTCAATTACCCCACAAAATCTCTCCCTCACCTCAGGACCTGGAATCCTTGTCAGTTCCAATCCTCCCCAACTCCCTCATATCTCCTGACATATACCCTTGGGACCTCCAAGAGATGTCTCAGCTCCCTGGGGTAGGGCTTCAGCTCCCCCAAATTCAGGCACATCCCTCTTGACCATACATCAGACCAACCCCCATACAAGGTGGCTGCAAAGACCAGCTTGCTCTGGATCTAGGGCGTACTGCTGAAGCATCAGCATGTGGCGTGGCTGGGGAGTGGGGAGTGGGGACAAGGGGCTGATCATGACGTGGTCCATACTTTGCCCCAAGGAACAGGAAGGGGCCACTTCTTAACCCTTCCTCATTTCCCCAGGAACCTTCCTTAGTTCACCTTTAATACCAGGATGGGAAGGGGCAGGGATGGGGGTGGGTACCAGGGCGTTACGGAGGTTGGCAAACGGCTCCCGTGAACCCACTTTGTTGCGCTCCGAGTTGGTCAGGACGGGGTCCTCAGCTGCCAGGGCAATGCTGCTGGCGGCGATCACCAGGAGAATGCACATCTCAAAGTAGCGCAGGTTCACAATGTAGTGGCAGGCCCTGCGAATCCTGTGGGGTGCAGGAGCCAGCTGAGCTGCCTCGGCTTCCCTCCCATCCCTGTGCCTTAACTCCCCGCCCTCATGCACATCAGCCTCTTCCAGACAGCCAGGCCCTGGCCAGAGGAAGCCATGGGGAAAGCAATTTAATTTCTCAGGCACCACCCTTGATTTAAAGCTCCCGTGGGAGAAGGTAATCAGATTGGTTAGAGGCTGCACTATGCAAGCCAAGATACATTATCTGTAGGCACATCTGAGCCATGGGAGCAGCCAGCATCAGACTGCACGCACCCCACATCGTGCATAGATTCGTGGTACCCTCCACTGTATCTCAATGTCTACTCTCCCACCGTACAGAAACCGGAACATAGCAAGGAAATCAGAAGAACCCAGAAACATAAAAGTCAACCTTGATTTTAAGATTCCTAATGACAGCAGCAACATGTTTCCATGAGCCTCACGTATTCTGATTAAAGTAATTATATTCTCTAGACTGTATTCTGGACTTGGGTGACCTGATATACCTTAGCCCAAATTCCTTCCTTCCCAGAGCCCTGCCTGAATACTGCCTGTGTGCTCAGTGAAAACCTTTTTGTCTTCCTAGACTCAGAAGCCAGTCTATGTGTATATCTTGCTCATTTCCAGGGCAAAAGGAAGCTCAGTCTAACCTTCTAGAATCTTCTCTGCCACCTTCATCTCATGCCCTTACCTCTGCTTTGAGGAACATGCCCATTTCAAAATCCACATATGGGGCAGTGGGACCAGTACTCTTAAACTCTAGTAAATGATCTATTTATTCTAGGCTCTGTATTCTCAGTTCTACCCACCCCTGAAATATTTGGTGACACATCTTGAGTAGATTTCTTTCCTCCTACCCCGCCCCCACACAACCTACTGACCAAATAAGAGGTACAAGGTCCTCTTCTCATGATGTTTCTCATACTTCCCTGTCTTAAATTACTCTTCAGACTTAGCACAGAGCTCAGAGGCTGTTCAATCTCATGACCCCCCTCCACCAGTGAGCACACTGCATGTTTCAGATGTCTGGCCACAGTCTGCTAAGGAGGATCAGAAAGATGGATGGACCCTCATCTCTCCCTCTTGTCATTAACCTGCCCTGGCTCTAACCCTGGCACTGAAGGGGAAGTGATGGGAGGGTGCCTTACGGGTTGGTGGTGCTGAAGATGAACATAGAGCTGTGGGGCACCATGGCTTTGCCCGTCTCACGCTTCTCCTTCTTCTGCTGCTTCTTCTCCATTTCCTCCTCCTCCTCTTTGATCTCAGCCTCCTTCAAGGGACTGGCTTCTCCATCAGTTTTGTTGCTAACTACAAAAGGAACACGTTGAGATCGTCAGAAACCTCGCCGCTGTGAGAATGGCGCCCTTTATTTTCCATGAGGATGCACAGAGAGGAGGGGAGGGGGTTGTAGAAATATGTCTAGCCGGGGACCCTGCAAACATTGGAGGTGTTGGCTATTGCACTGAGTTAAGCCCTTGCTCTCATTCTCGCCAGACCCTCACCCTCATTTTACATGGTATAACCTTTTGTGCCATGTAAATAATGATCATGTTTCCCAGGGAACAGGATGATTGTTTCTTTTGTAAAGTTTGCAAAGTTTCCTTATATCTAAAATCTAGGTCCTTTGCCTATATTCACTTATTGAATGTTCACATCCATACACCCTGAGCAGCATGCATTCTGCCCATTATACAGACAGGAAAACTAAAGTTCAGGGAATTCAAGTACCTATCCTTACTTAGATCATAACAGCTAGTTCCCAAATCAAAATCCTGTATCCTTTTGGTGATATCACACTGCAATGGAAGATTTTAAGAAGCCATTACTCTGTTTGCGGCTGACTTCCTGGCTGTGCTTGTTCCACTCATGATTAATGTTGAAATGGCAATGCAATATTCATGCCTATATGCGACTGTGACAGCATTCTAGGAAGAGGAGGATGAAGGAGCCAGGGGCTGTGTGGAGCTCTTGGGCCACCACCCTCAGTTTCCACAGGCAAGTCACAGTGTGACATAAGTGGCAGAGAGGCAGAAAGTACCTGAGTGGGGCCAGGGACGCAGTCAACCTCTCCCACTGTTCTCTTTCAGCGAATGACTCTACCCTGGAGCCTTGCACAACTGGCAAGCCTTTGAGGTTCCGGCCCCTTCTGGGTCCTTCCAAAAGGTAACTTCTCCAAAGCCCTCTGATCATATGCTCTTCCCTATGACCAAGGCCTTCGACTAGTCCCAGAATAGGAACAGAGGAAGGTCAAAACTTTTTAATGTTTCTCATAAGAGAGGGTCCAAAGCACTTATCAGAGCATAAAATTAAACAGACACCAAAAGAGGTTGTCTGAAATTTTGAGACATGCCCAAGTCAACCCCAGGAGCACTAGATATGGGAGATTTCACTTTCTAAAGTAGACCTGGCATTCCAAGTGTAGAGAAGGTGAAGGAATGGAGATGGAGCAGTGCAAGAAAGAAAAGCAGGAAACCACAAATGTTGGAGAGGATGTGGAGAAAGGGGAACCCTCTTGCACTGTTGGTGGGAATGTGAACTGGTGCAGCCACTCTGGAAAACTGTGTGGAGGTTCCTCAAAGAGTTAAAAATAGATCTGCCCTACGACCCAGCAACTGCACTGCTGGGGATTTACCCCAAAGATACAGATGTAATGAAACACTGGGACACCTGCACCCCAATGTTTAGAGCAGCCATGTCCACAGTAGCCAAACTGTGGAAGGAGCCTCGGTGTCCATCGAACGATGAATGGATAAAGAAGATGTGGTCTGTGTATACAATAGAATATTACTCAGCCATTAGAAACGACAAATACCCACCATTTGCTTCGATGTGGATGGAACTAGAGGGTATTATGCTGAGTGAAATAAGTCAATCAGAGAAGGACAAACATTATATAGTCTCATTCATTTGGGGAATATAAAAAATAGTGAAAGGGAATAAAGGGGAAAGGAGAAAAAATGAGTGGGAAATATCAGAAAGGGAGACAGAACATGAGAGACTCCTAACTCTGGGAGACGAACTGGGGGTGGTGGAAGGGGAGGTGGGCGGGGGTGGGGGTGAATGGGTGATGGGCACTGAGGGGGACACTTGACGGGATGAGCACTGGGTGTTGTTCTATATGTTGGCAAATTGAACACCAATAAAAAATAAATTTATTTAAAAAATAATAATAAATTTAAAAAAGAAAAAGAAAAACAGGGAGGGTGACAAAACATGAGAGACTCCTAACTCTGGGAAACAAACAAGGGATAGTGGAAGGGCAGGCAGGTGGGGGAATGAGGTGACTGGGTGACGGGCACTGAAGGGAGCACTTGATGGGATGAGCACTTGGTGTTATACTATATGTTGGCAAATCAAACTCCAATAAAAATATACATAAAAAAGAAAGAAAAACAAGGAAAGGAGAAGACTGTTCTATGCAAACAGTAAAATAAGGAAAAAGGGAAGAAAAGAAGCAAGAAGCAAGGGTTGAATCCTGTGGTGACAATTCTGTGGCCATGAGACAGAAGATGGGATAAATGCAGCAACAGGGGTGGGGTGAGGGTTAGAGAGGGAATAAGGCTGGGGGAGAAGGGGTGGGGGTAGGCTTAGGGCAGGAATAGGGTTAGGGCAGAAACAGGGGTGGAGATTAGGGTTAGGGCTGGGATAGGGGTGAGGTTAGGGTAGGAAAAGGAATGGAGTTGAAGCCAGGATAAGAGTGAGCTTGGGGTGGGGATGGGGAGGGTAGGTCCAGTGATTTTTGTCTTTTCCTTTTGAGGTCTGGAGATTAACATCTACTGCCTGAGGGATGTGGGATAAACACTAAATGAAAGCTCCTTTGAGAAAAGAGTAGATAAGAGTAAAAGCTTCATAAACTGTTAGAGCTGAGAAAGACCTCAGGGATCACCCAACTCAATGCTTTCACTCTAGGGTTGACAAACTGAAGCCTTGGGAGAAACCGAGGTTTGTGGAAGCCACACACCAAGCAGATCCGGGTCATCACCTGCTCCACCAGAGGTTCCCTAAGTTGTCCGGGCGACAGGGCATGTGGAGGTCCTGGAGACCACCACCAAATATTTACACGGTAAGTTAAGGAGCTGAATAGATATCTGGGAACAAAACCACATGTGAGCCCTCTGAAGTCTCTATGGTGGTCACAGGGGCCAAGGCTGAGGGAAATTTTATGGGTAAAGCTTAAGACAGGAGAAAATTCTAACTTATATTGCCATAAACCAAGATAAATCTACTGCTATCGTTTACTTGCTGTAGAATGATTTCATCTTGCTCGTGGTGTTTCTCACGTAGTTCTACGGTGACTCCAGGGCCACCACTGTCCCCAGCCCCAGATGGGATGGGTGGTGAGGGGGAAGGGAGTCAGGGACTGCATTCTCACTGTGAATCACAGTTGAGTCCATCAAGGGGCCCACATCAGGGATGGCGACGGTGACGCTGGTGCTGTCGGTGGTGGCCTTGTCTGTGTTGGCTGTGACGCAGGAGAGGTCAGGCTCACTCTGGCTGATGACCCTGCCAATGTCCAACTGCACATCCCCCAGCAGGGCCTGCTCGCTGCTGCCCTCCGGCTCCTGCTCCGTCAGCACCATGTCCTTCCCCACTTCCGGATCGTGGTGGGGCAGGACTAGGGGTGTGTTGGCTTCATCGAGGGCTCCTGCCAGCCCAGAGCCTCTGGCCACCATCAGACTGTTCGTCCTATAGGAACAGAGGAGACGACAGCTGGGGCTTAGATCTTAAGAAGCTATTCTAAAGTGGCTGGTGAGGCAAGAGGGAAGGGTGAGGGAAGCCCAAGGATCCTTGAGGGAGAGAGCATGGCAGCTGCTGCCTCCCACCTCTACCCACCCAGGATGGGGGAGCTGAGACCCACAGGCAGTGTCCATGCCTTATGCCTGTCCATCCGTCCATGACCTGCTCCCAACAGGAGATGCCCCAGAAGAACAGACCCTGGTTTTCAAGGGGACAGAGTCCATGACCTTTCATATATACATACCTTACAAAGGGTGCATTAGCATCTTCTCCATTTTAGAAAAGGAAAGAAAACTGAGGATCAAATGGGGTTACACCGAAGAGTCCTTAACCCCAGCAGTGCTGTAGGCCTCCAGGGCACTCCTGTGACCAGCTTACCTCCTTAAGTCTTGGCCTCTGTCTTCTTCCTGGATGGTGGGTTCTTTGCCTGCATGGCCGCCCCTGGGCTCTCGCTCCTTCTCCCCGTCGGTGAGCACCCCCTCATCCAGACTCCGCTCCTGGCTGACAGACCTGCTCCGGGAGGTGGAGGAGAGCTCCTTGCCTTCCGTCCTGACACGACGGTGCCGGCTGCGCCGCTGGCTCTGCCTGTGCCTGGCCCGGTCCTCGAAGGTCACCACGGTCTCCCCTCCCCCAGCCTCCTGCTGGGTCGGATCACAGTTCCCATGACAGGGCCTGGCCAGCCATGGTGGCTCCCGTTTGCCCAGGGACAAAGGGCTCCTCTGGTTGTCCAGGGCACTCGACAGGTCCCCTCCATCCCCCTTGAGGGACCCCCCGCGGCTGATGATGCGCTCCTCCTCACACTTCTCCAGGCCCAGGCCTAGACCCTCAATAGGCCTGGGTCTCCGGTAGAGGCTGGGGTGGGCGTTGAGCGGGTTGAGGGGGCTCAGCGGGTTGAGGGGGTTGAGGGGGTTCATCGGTGGGGCCTCCTCTTTATTGAGGGCCTCCTGGCTGGACATCTGCATGTGCCTTCTCAGCTGGCTGGTGCGCTGCTCCCACACCGACATGTGGTGCCGGCGCCTCCGCTCCCTCCTGCCAAAGGGGAGACGGTGAGGACTAGGTCAGAACCCAACAGCTGAGGGCCAGGGAGGGAGCCACTGGGGTGTAGACCAGCCCTCAGCGGCCATGGGAAAGGGGCGGGACACATGGGGGGCAGGGCAGCAAACGGGAGAGCCCAGGACCTGCAGACAGGAAGCACAGAGAGATAGCAGAGTGGGCCACACGCAAGTAGGTGGTCGGACCAGTGCCTCCTAGCATGTGGGGCTTCCCACTCCAATCCCTGCTCTGCAGTAGTCGAGTGCCGGGGTAGGGGGTCAGCCCAGGACTCACCGGGTCTGCACACCCCTGTTCTCCTTTGTTCTGAGGGCATCCATCCACCTGCACCCACCCTGTGCTCACGCTCACCACTGGCCCTTAATTCCAGGTCAGGGACCTTTCTTCCTCCTGTTCTCCCTGTCCTCTGCACCTCAGGTTACAGCTGGGGTAGCACAGGCTGGATCCTAGCAGAGGAGGGCTGGCGACAGCGACAAGCAGACCCACATTGGCATCACCCTCAAAGAGCAGGAGTGCCATGGATCCCCAACAGCTAATAAAAACCTGAGGACTGCGTGTGCAGACACCAGCCACTCATCCTCAAAACCACTGCTGAACATTTCAGCTCGGGGGCCTCAGTGGGCATTCACGTGGCAGCAGGCACACGCAAATGTGACACGCCCAGGAGAGCGCACGGGAGTGGGCTCACAGGGGCCGAGGGGCGGTCACCCTACACTTTCACTCACATGTGCCCACACGCATCCTCGCTGAGGCCCGCACGTGGGCCCACGTGAAAGGCACACCCACCGACACAAAGTACCCGCACCAACGCGTGCCCACTCACGGGCCGCACAGAGGAGTGAACGACACACGGGGTCACATACCTTAGACACACACATTGAAACAAGCACATGTTGAAAGGTGCAGAGTATAGCGTCCACAAACCATGTGCACGGAACACACGCACACACCGCGGCACGCGCTGACATGCACACCCGCTGCCACTTTGTCTGTGGCGAGAACAGAGACACGGTGTCCCTACACACACACACACACGGAACCACTCACAAACACGCAGACCGGTACACACATACAGGTGGCTGCTGCGTGGCTCCCACATCGACATGTGGTGTCTTCTCCTTCTGTCTCTTCTGGGAAAGAAAAACGAACAGGTTCAGTTCACCCCAACCTCTAGGAACCACAAGCCCCACAGCCACCAGCCAGTGTTCAAGAAGAGGCTCGGAGTCCTCTACGTGCCCGTACGCTCTCCACATGCCTGCTGCCCTCTGTAGGCTCCCAACCTTCAACTTGCCAAGGGAGTGACCTTTCGTTCCTTATTGTGTGCAAACATATGGGTCCAGGGTTTGAAGCATACATGCAGACGCAAAGGATATATCATGTCATGGGAGTATACAGCTTCAGGTGCTCCATCATCATGCCCCACTGGCACTCATACTGGCCCCTAAATAGCCTTCAGAGATCTATTCTGGAAACCCTATAAACTTGGACGAGAGTTGTATTTCCCCCAATTATGTCTAGGATATTCACATGGGTGGGATTCCCTGACTCATCGCTCCAATCACTGTAGAACATGCAGGAACAAATGCCCCACCATGCACATCATCAAAGCCACCAAGCAGCCCATGGCCAGGGGCAGGGTCACCACTCCATGGGCTACTGTCCATGTACTTCAGGATATGTGCGTGCCCCTGCAATTCTGCAACAGCGACCCTGGCCAGAGGCCCTCTGGGTTCTGTTCAGCCACGTAAAGCAAGCACAGCGTTGATCTTCTTAGCCATGCACAGGAAGAAAAAAATAAACCTTTCTACAGACACACACATGCTGTGCCCTTTTACTGACAAGGTCAGTAGAAGGTCAGACTGGCAGGGTATGGGCATCATCCACCAAGGCAAATGGGACTCCTAAAAATGAAGCTCTCAGTGCACAGTCAATGCTCAGGTAGAGGACAACACACACGGCACACTTGTGGAGCAAGCTTGCCCCAAGTCCTGGGCTGACAGACCCAGTGTGGCCCACTGGGCCCCGCCTCGACCTGGGAGGTTAGCAAATGCTGTTCCCTCCCTGACCAATGGAGAATATGCTAGGCAAAGTAGCACTGCCCTACCGCCATGCCCCACAGCCGCAGTGAAGCCTGATATATGGGTGGGCTGAGGGAGTAGAGGCAGCTGGTTGGAGCCTCACTTGGCATCTGGAAGAGGCACAATGTGTACAAGCATCCATGGAGTGGGTGCAGACATCACTGTGGAGACGCCTGTGAGCTCCCCAACTGTATGCACCCTTCAGCTCAGGCAGCTGTAATGCAATGAGGCACACGCAGAGTGGTGGTGCCAAGAAGCATGGATAGCATATAGAAATAGAAAGACACACTCTAGCCAGGCAGCATGCACACCCACTAGGGAAAGCAGATTCTACCGTCTATTTGCAGATCCTCAAACACTCAAATATCAGCTCTCCAGAAGCACATGTGTAAGAGTTTAAGTACATAGAAGAATTCTTTCTCATGAATGCACACGCACGCACGCACGCGCGCGCGCACACACACACACACAGACCAAGCAAAGAGAGACACAACTTTTAGCTCCCATACAAATCAGATACACACTTCAAACAGCACTTCTCCACTCACACATACAAATATCCAAAGTCACACTGCATCATTAATATACCTTCATTCCCAAAATCACACAGAGAAGCATCAACATATCTCCAACTCATACGTATGTGACCTCACATACACCTTAGGCTAACCTTGTGGATCAGGAGTGGGCAGCTGGCATTCTTCCCATTTCAAAGATGGGGAAACAGAGATTCTAGGATCCTAAGTGGTTCTCTCTCCAAGGACATGGAGCACATGAGTGACAGAACCAGCCCTCAGACCTTCTGATTTGTAACAACGCTCTTTTCATGCTTCTCTACGGAGTCCACATCCTTGGTTGTACCATAGTCTAAAAAGCAGCAGTCTTGCCTGCGCTCCTGAGCAGCACACACCCACCCTGACATAGTTTCCACCAGCAGTACCCACCCTGCAGCACATGTACTATGACCAAAGCTGGATCCCTGCTCATCTTGGATGGTTACAGCACCTTCTTCCATCTCACTGGGCCCAGATACACACACAGCTCACTGCCTACAGACCTATGCCTACCAGCATTTCATTCATTCTTTCATTCCACAAATAGTGAGTTTCTACTCTGGGCCAAGCATCTTCCCAACTCACGTCTCCAAACCCACTCTTCCCCAGGCTTCCTCAACTCAGTAAATAGAACCACCCACTCCTAAGTGACAGCCAGCCCTACCCATCAGCATGTTTGCATACCTGTGTGTGTTTATTTTTAACCCAAACTCATGAGTGCAGGGAAGGTGGGGTAGGAACTACTCAAGGCCCAGCGATTATTCCAGAGAGGAAAGAGTTCCTCTGCCTTTCTCCATCAATCTTTAACAAATTTGGAGGACAGTCTATTCTCACTTCCAGAGAAGGCGCTCAGGGCCAGCCTTTCAGTTTTGAAAGGTAAGGGCAGGATGATGACTGTTCCGGGGAAGCAGGCCCCCATATAGAACTCTGGAATGCCTCTATAGGGGGTACTGACGACATTCAGAGCCCTTCCCATGACCACTTGGCAAAGGCGGCTCCTCCTTTTCCAGCTTCAAGTAATGGATTACAGGGTCTGGTTGTTAGGATAGAGGCGCACAGCCCAGGGGTCTCAAAACCTTCCCATTGAGCCACCCATACAGATCTCACAGAGGCTCAGAAACCATAGGGATTCTCAGCTCAATACCTTCGTCCAGCTCCACATAGTGCTCACACTTTGCTAACCAGCAACCACAGGCCCAGGCTGGATCCTTCAAGTCTATACTCAACTGCTCCACTCTCTCACCTGCCATTCTCTCTCTAATACACTCCAACTGGATTCTGTTCCCACCAAGCTACTAAAACTGAAGGTTGCAAACAACTTTCATTTTGCCAAACCCAATGGTCCCTGGTGTCTTCATTTTACGTGATCTTTCAGTAGCATTTAGCTGTACTCCTTCCTTTTCTTTAGGTCTCCAGGTCATGACACTTCCCTGTTCTTTCTTCCTACTCCTAATCACTCCCCATCTCCTTGGTGGGTTTCTCCCCCTGCCAAATCTGGAGGCACAGGAGTGCCTTGGGCTTCTGTCCTGAGCAACTCTGTCTCCACTACAACTCCATATGAGCTCATCCACGATGATAGCTTAAATCTGTCCAAACACAAATGGGTCCCCACAAATCTTTATTTCTAACCCTTACTTCTTCTAAGCTTCAGACTCATGTAATCAATGGCCTCTTGGGCATCTTTACTTGGATGTCCTCTAAGTATCTCAAATGTAACGTGGGAAAATGAACCTTGGATTTCTACCGTCCTCCAGGCTATCAGAAAGTACCACCACCCTCTACCTAGTTGCTTAGGCATGAAGCCTTAAAGCATGGGGGAAATACTCTTTTATCTCTACCCCCTATATCATGTTTAATTCATCACCTTTCCCTTTGGTTCTGTCCCCAAAGCACAGACTGAGTAGGATTACTTCTCACCTCCTTCCCTGCTACCACGGCCTCAACTACTATTACCTGTCACCTACTTTACTCTTAGTTAACACTATTTCTCTGCCTCTACCCTTGGCCCTTGCAATCCATTCTTCATAGAGCAGAGTGACTTTTTAAAAGTATAAATCATATGGGGTTCCTGGGTGGCTCAGGTCATGATCCCAGGGTCCTGGGATGGAACCCTGTGTAGGGCTCCCTGCTCAATGGGGAGTTTGCTTCTCTGTCTGCCTTTGCTCTGCCTCTGCCCCTTACCCTGCTCACACTCTCTTTCTCTCAAATAAATAAATAAAATCATTTTTTAAGTATACAGCATGTAGTATCTATCCTCCTGCCTTAGACCCTCTAAGGTTGCAATTAGAATAAAAGCTAAAATCCTGGGCCTTCAGGATTCCCCTGACCTTATCTCCTTCTATTCCTCCTTGTTCCCTGCACACCAGCCACCCTGCACCTTGCTGGAGAATAATCCTCCTCTGTAATTTCATGTGACTGCCTTCTCTACATATAGATCTCTATTTGAGTATCACCTCTTCAAAGAATCCCTCCCAGACTGCCTGTAAGTACTCCATCCAATTCATATTCCTCTGCATTTCTACCCTGTTTTATCTTATAGCAATGATCTCCACTTAAAATTATTTATGTGTGTTTATTATCTATCTCTCTCACTGAAATAAAAACTCCATGAGAACAGAGACTCTGTCTTGCTCATTGCTGTATTCACAGGACATTTCCCAGCATGGAGTAGTCATCCTCCAATAATATACCATTTTGAGTTGATGAATAGGACATTTCCCAGCATGGAGTAGGCATCCTCCAATAATACACCATTTTAAGTTGATGAATTGGCTGTTAGCACAGGAGCCCAGGGGACAGTGAAGTGGGGACAGCCAACTCACTCGATAGAAGGCATGTTGGGTGCAGACATCGGGCTGACCTCCTTGGCCTTCTGCAATGCATGTTTCTGGTTAAAAGCCTCCTCTTCTTCTTGTTCATCCTAGATACAAAGCAGAAATGGCTTTTCCTGGGTTCCCCATGAAGGAGAATAGTGCCCTTGACTCTCCCCACAAGTTCTAGAGACCAGGTGAAATGAGGAAGGCAGGTAAAGGCGTTAAACAAGGTAGTAGGAGGGTGCGTTGGCTCACAGACCTCAAGTGGCCAGGCATCTTGGGAGACAGAAAGAAGCCTCATCAGCCCTGGCATGATCAGTAATTCTGGTCTCCACTCAGCCCCACGAGCTTCCCCACAATTTCTCAGGAAAGCCATCAATTCTACCCCAAGTTCTACCCCCTCAGTGGAGCCCATGGCTATGGAAGTCAGAAACTGAAGCTGACATCTCTCAGATGATCTGCAGTATCTGCAAGTTATAGAGCCAGGGCCCTTCCAGGTAGACCCACCCTAAAGGAAAACACTAGGACTGTGCCTCTACTCACACCCTCTCCCCTGCCCAGTTAAGTGGCCTCACCCCAGGTGATCAGGCAGGGACATCATCCCTTCTTTGTGATGACACTGGAAAAGCCAGTTCAGGTGAAATGACTACAGCTACTAAGAACATACATCTTAGCCTGCTCTGGTTTTCACATACATTATTTTACTTGACCTCAATAATAATCCTGTGAAGTATGCAAAGCAGATATATCATTCCCATGTTATAGAGGAAGTGCCCAATGGCACTACAGAATCATCAGAAATGCAGAAAATGCTTACCTTGGTCAGCTCTTGGGCATTGGCCAGATTGTCCACAGCAATGGCCAAGAACACATTCAGCAGTGTGTCTGGGGTGATGAGTTAAGGATGGGGAACTAAGAAAACCAAAAGGCTTTAGCAAGACTGAAGACGTCTCTAGGTCTTTGCTGCCTCGGATACCAGCAGGAGCAGAAGCTGCCCCATAGCAACAATTAAGCAGAGGTTATGCAACCTTCCTTCCTTCCACATAGCTTCTCTTTGCACAGGACATAGAAATAGCTGAATCCAACCACTCAGGGGTCAAGTTGGGATAAGGAGGCCTTTAGACACGTGTGGCCTCCATTTATAGTGATACTGAATAGAGAATCACTGAACAACATGACAGTAAGGAGCTCAATGCAGGACCTTGCCTCTCCTTTCTGGGAGGCTGGCATCGAAACCCACCTAGACCAAACATCCCACCCTGTTCTTAAAGATGAAAAGAAATGAGATTCCACCAGACCCATCACTGACTGGTTCCCAATAATGAAACACTAGTTATTCTCCTTCTTATCCTGGGAGGCTTCCATATTTCATTTAGGAAAAATGTCACAGAGCACACAAGATCATTATGGAACCCACTTCTATTCCAAGCTCTAACCTCTGAGGTCCTAGTTTTCCAACTTCCTTTGAGGTCCATGTGTTGTGGAATATAGAACTGATTCCAGCATAGAAGTCCAGTCTGACTACCCTCAGAGAAACAGCATGCCACTGTGACAAACTGGCCTTCCAATTCTGTGATGTGCTGCATAGCTTTCTTTTTATGGGTTTCTCATGTTTGGTTCATAGTCTGCTCTGGCCTCTAGAAATTTTCAGGGCAAAAAAGCTAAAGGGGTATCTCTTCTATGTGAGACTGGGGAAAAAAAAGTATAGCTATATCACCTGGCTCTCCCTTTTTTGCTCCACCACGGCCATTTCAAGGCAAGTCCCATTTCCCCAAAACATCTAGTGATTGTATACAAGTGTGCAGTTTGTAAGGTGCATCCAGATAAATTATCTCATTTACTATTCACACCTAGCAAAAGGCTGGATGCTGATATTCTCCTTACAGATGTGAAAACTAGAAGCTCAGAGAGATTAGGGGACTTTCCCAAGACCACAGAGCTGGTAAGCAGAATTGCCAGGATTAAAACCCAAATCTTCCTAGACTAGATCCTGTGACCAGGTATGGGTTTAGGAATTGAAGGGACTTGATTTCCAGTCTCCCTTTGACTTCAGTTATTTCTTCTAAGTCTTAGAAGGTAAGGATTAGTTCAAAGAGCACCTGTAAAACACTTAGTGCAGGGTCTCATGTATAGCACAAATATAATAAATGTTGCCTATGCTTAATAGTATTAGCATTAATCATAATGCTGATATTTTTGAGATCTTAACTATGTAGCAGGTCCTGCTCTATATTAACATGTAATTAATTAGTAATGCAATATGGCCACTATTTCAGCCTACAATTATCTTTGTCATCCATTTTCCCCAGATGACAGTATCTCCAACTATTCAGTATAAGAGCCTCATATGTTATTATTCACGTATGCTGAAGATTTGGATAATACTTTATCTTCTTGTTTATATTTGTCTTCTTTACCCAACTAGAATACAATTTACTTAAGATCAGAATCCTTGTTTCTCTTAGTACATCAAGCAATATCTACCCCAGAACTACCCTGACCCACCCTCCCCAACAAAAAAAGCCCCACCCACCTCTCTACCACCACCCTCCTCAAATGCTGGTTCAAGCAGGCAGTCAGGCAGCATGAAGAGGAGTATCTTAAAAAGGATACAGTTTCCAAACAAGGTGAGCACAATGAAATAGATAGCTGACCACATGCCTGAGCTAACTCCACCCTGGGAACGGATCCCATTGTACATCACCTCATTCCAGTCCTCACCTGTTAGGATCTATGCAAAGCAAATAATAAGCAAGTCAGAGACTTGGGTTGGTTGAGAAAATGGGGCCAATGTAAAAAAGAAAATTCTGGCCTGGGTCTTTCCATCTACCCCCTGCTTGGTCATTCTGCCAGGGAGAAAAATAAAGTCACTTTCATGAATAATTCTAAACTTTCTTCTGATAAGGACGATAATTTTAGGCACTGAAAATGGAAAGAGAGCATCAAAAGAAAGAGTCTATTCTGAGTTTGAATACAAACTCCCTCCACTTCCAGCTTTGTCAGGCCTAGGGGAATCAGAGAGACCAGATGGTCTGGTCACTACCAGTCTATCCCAAGGGAGCTAAGATACAGTACTTAGGATAGCAGCATTATTACAAAGAGCCTCATAGGCTCCAGTTCCAGAGACCTGATTCTGGTTTAACCTAAGATTTTAGCTAAATAGTGTTTTCTTTAGCTCTCAGCATTATAGATTTTTGAGTTTCCCTCCATGATTTAAAAATATTTTTTTGTGGGACAGGGGGAGGTGGGGTGGCGGAAAAATTAATTCATTAAATGGAATATGGGTCAGAAGATGTGTCCAATTTCAGAGAACCATAAATGTGATATGACAGTTTTACTTCTTCCTTACCAACTTGGATGACTTTTATTTCTTTTTCTTGTCTGATTGCTGTGGCTAGGACTTCCAGTACTATGTAGAATAAAAGTGGTGCAAGTAGACATCCTTGTCTTGTTCCTAGTCTTAGAGAAAAAGCTTTCAGCTTTTCACCATTGAGTATGATTTGGCTGTGGGTTTGTCATATATGGCTTTATTATGTCAAAGAAGGTTCCTTACATACTCATTTTGTTCAGAGTTTTATCATGAATTAATGTTAAATTTTGTTAATTTTTTTCTGCATCTATTAAAATAATATGATTTTTATCCTTTATTTTGTTAATGTGGTAGATCTTATTGATTGATTTCTGGATACTGAACCATCCTTGCATTCCTGGAATAAAGCCCACTTGATGGTGGTCATAAATATCGCAAGTTACTAAGTGTCCCTACCTTAATATCTCTTGCAAACTCACAAGTATAGGGAAAAGGCCAATATGTAATCATAATAGAGCTCTTCTATTACTGGTAAAAACATAGCTACAGAAATTCTAAGAATTATTGTGATGATAATTACTCAACAAGAGTCCCAGTTGCCTGGGATAAGCCTGGGGAGGAAAAATAGGATTCTCCTAACATATCATTTTGCTGCATGAGCTCCAAAAGATCCTACAAAACATTTTTAACTGCTACTTGGCCTCATACCTGGAATACAGTCATGATGGCTGCAGGGAAGGTGTCAAAGTTTGCTGAAGGAGTCCCATCATTAAAGTTAAACCTGAAAAATGAAGTTCAGAGAGAAGGATGAAATGAAAATCTCACATACCAAGTTTTCCCTTCCTTCTCCATTACTTCTTTTACCCTTTCTCTAGATACTCCTCTTCCCTAATTTCTCCCCATTCCATGTAATTATGAAGATGGTATTATGAATAACTACTACTGATGGACGGTGCACTTTGAAGGGTGTGGATAACAAGATAGGGTTTGGGCTGATCTTGAGTTTTAAGGCTCCATGCCATACATTTTAGGGACAGCTCCAAAGAGAGGGGTCTCCAAACCCAGAATCCTGTATGGTGTGAAAAGATTAAAAGCAGAGACATATGTTTTATACACACACACACACACACACACACACACACACACACTTAGTGGTTGATGTGGACCAAAGCAAAAAGGATGGTAGCACAGTGATCAGATTAGAAACCCTGGTGCTCACAGGCTGAAAACTTAGTTTTGAGGCTCCTTTGAATGGGAAGTTCACTGATGCTTACCTGCCTCCAAACAGCTGCATTCCTAGAAGAGCAAAGACAACGATGAAGAGGAAGAGGAGGAAGAGCAAACTGATGATAGACTTCATAGAACTCATCAAGGAGACCACCAAATTTCGCAGAGATGCCCAATACCTATAAAACCCAAACATTATAGCAGTGAACACTGAGTATAAAATTATCCCCAAATGCAGCAGGGCATCTGCCTGGTAGTCTATGAAATATGCTGTATTTGTATACTTGGGTGAAAGAGAGATGTCAGCAACAATGAGGTACCCCTTGGGAATGTGGCATGGAATCTGTCATCCTAGATATTTTTCTGGTTTGATTTTTGGAGAAGGAGGAGCTGAAGAATGGAGTAGGGGATGTGGTAGGGAAGGGGAACATGTGGCCAAGGGAAATAGGGTACAGAAGGAAATACAATAAGTCAAAGAGAAGCTTCCACTCTCACAGGTGGCTAGGAAGAGTCTAGATTCTGATCACTTACTTGGTTATTTTAAATATTCTTAGAAGCCGGAGAGCCCGTAAGACACTGATTCCAAAAGATGTGCCAGGTCTGAAGATTGCCCAGACCACTTCAAAGATGCTGCCCACTGTGACCTATAGAGCCAAACCCAGCCACAGTGAGGAGGAGGAGCAGGAGAGAAGAGCCTTCTAGCACTCAGCAGTCAATGCTTCTTACTAGGCTGTGGTGAAATTAAAACTCTACCCTCCCCACCGAGCACAGCTCCTACAGGATAACCCATCTGTGAAGGCTGCTGAAGGAAACAGAGGCTCTACTGCCTCCCTCCCCACTGCCCCCCATTCTCCCACCCTGACTTCACTCCTTCATACTGGAGACGAGTTCCCTGACTGCCGTTCTGTCCTCGGTGCAAACTACCAGAACCAGGCACTACTTCTCCACAGATCTGATAGCCACAACTGTCCTTACAGAATAACACCTTGAACAAACAGATGAAAGAGGGGTACTTGAGGCAAGGAAACAAGTTTGAGTTAATACAGGTTGAATTCCGATGTAAAAGCCTCAGAGGAGGTCCACATTCGCTCCCTGTCCTAGAATTTAGTGCTACCCAGAATGGTTCTGGTACCTGTATGTGAAATAGCTGTCACTCAGGTCCCACACCCCCATGTGACAGTACCACTTGGTGGCATAGAATTGACTGCTGTAGGAAGTAGCAATGTCAAATTAACACTCTGGTTTTCATTTCAATGCTATGTTCACTGAACATCTACTATATTCTACATGGTGCCCAAGGAGAGGTAACAAAAATGAATCCTCACTGCAAGGCTGCAAAGTATGTATATAGGGAATGGTCCTTCACTAGCTGCTGTGCCTGAAAATTGTCCATACCCAGAAGCATATGTTCCAAGTTAAAATGCAGACTGGCAAGGGCTCAAAATCGTTAGCACCTAACAAGATTTGGCAGGAACAGAAGTGGGTTTGGCAGAGAGATAAGTGGTTCAGGAACCCAAAGGTTTGCACCCTAGTTCTGCTGCACTGGCCCTGTGAACTTGCACACGATGTTCTCTATTTCCTCACTGGTGAATGGGAAAGGTAACTCCTGATACATAATAGAGTGGTTAGGAGTCTGGAAAGCAGTGCAGGACAAAAATGTCTGTCAAAGTACCTTGAAGACGGTTAGATAAGTACACATTTATATATCAACATTATTTAGGAAGTGAACACTGGATGAAACAGTCTATGTGGGAACTTGCTAATACAAGAGTGTGTGTCTTTGTACATGTTTGCAGGAAAGTTCTATCTCAGTAATTTTCCCAATTTTAAGCTGAACTAAAAAACAAATATAAGCTTCTCTTTTTTTACTGAACCACCTTCTGGAATCAGTTCCTTTGTTCTCTCTCAGGCTTCCCCTAAGACAATAAGTGGTTAAAAACTTGCTATGGGTAGCTCCATCAAATTCACTCAGCTATACACGGAAGTGTTACACCACAATATCCATGTTATACTTAAAAAAAACCATTAAAAATAAAAGAGCTTTAAACAAACCATCCAACCCTAATATGGGAAGGACTCACTCATTCCTGACCTCCCTTTAGCTAACTTACTTATTCTCCTTTTATAAATTCTGATTTTAGTGCTTCATGCTGAGCAATAAAGCAAGCTGCTTATTTCACATGGTGGTATATCAACATGAAGCAGGAGGACAGGTAGGCTCCAAAGCACTTACCCCAAAATCAAAACAGTTGAATGAAGAATGAAAATAAAGTCGAGGTCCCATGCCATACATCTTCAGGGACATCTCCAAGAGGAACAGTCCCAGAAACAAAAACTCTGCATAGTCTGAAAGCATCAAAAGCACATGTGTTTGTTGTGTAGAGAGTATGGGCTCCCGCACTCCTCAGCCCAACCCCTCACCTACAGAGGAGCCCTCAATACCAACAGGCAAAACCTAATGATATCTGAATATACTCTCTGACCTGGGAGTCCCAGGCACACCCCATGTATCAGCTTTGTCATTTTTCAATGGATGTTAAATGATATATGGCTCTTAGGAAAGAAAGAAAGGGCTTTGCCATGGCGCTGATGAAGGAGCCAGATTCATTCTACACACACACTCAGCTGTGACAGCATCCTAGATCCTCATTTTCACCCAGTGGCAGCCTTACCCAGAGGTGACCTATAAATTCCCATCTTGGTCTACTGGAGGTAACCACTACCTAAGAACTTTCTCCCCAGGACTTAGGTGACCAAAATTCTCTATGCCATTGAGCCTCCTTAAGATACTAAATGAAGCCCTTAAAGTACCCAAGGCTAATGCCATTTCATTGACTTATCAGCAAAGATTTATCTGATTCAACAATCAATGCCTAGGGGAATGGTGGTGTGATATCCCAACGCCTTGAGGACAACTCTGGCCTCCCCCACAGTACCCTGCCAGGCCCAACAGGACATATGCTCTCTTACATTCACACTCAAATCTAGCTACACTGTTTACTTACAGAGGAGATGGGTGAGCCACTGGGGCTGGTTATGATGGACGATGGCCACACAGGCAGTGTTGAGAGCCACAAGGCTCAACACAATCCAGTAAAACACCTGGGATTTCACCATGTGGCGGATAGAGATGCGCAGAAGCCTTTCTTTGTGCCGGAAATAGGAGGCCCCATCCACCTTTGCACTTTTGATGCTGGCTCGGGCGAGAGGTGTGCCTAAGGGGAAAGAAGTAAGGAAGAAGAATGAGGCTGCACAACAGATCACCCTCCATGGGAAGGGCACAGTCAAAGGGGGAGGCAGACAGCTTTAATGCTGGGGCTAGGTGACCCCCACATTGTAGGCCCAGGGAATCCCAATGGTATGAGCTAGGTAGTTTCCATACCAGATATCCCTGCTTTTCCTCACCAGACATTCTCAGTTCTAGGAAATGGAAAGATTCCTTGGGCACAACACCAGACATATACCCAGCTTCCTGAATCTTAATAGTGTAGCGTTAATGTTTTTAACAGGTTGGGATTCTCTCTGGTCTTTCCTTTTAAATATGCTTCAGGCACTAGAATTGTTTTGCTGCATTTGTGATTATTTCTACCATGGGCAGGCGAAAGCAGCAATGAGTTCTGTATACCTCTTCTGCTTTTTAGGATGACGTAAAGGAGGAAGTAAAAATCTGCCATCAGCCAGCATGTCTAATAGAACCTGGGATTGAAGAATAATCATTTAAGAGTTGTCAGCAGGATTTGTTTAAATACCATGTGGAAGTAGGTGAATGCCACTGTGGTTAAGCAAATGATTGCAGGTCCTCGAATGGTGGTCACTAGAAGCCAAAGGTCCTCAGGATCCTCTGAACAATATACCAAAGTGGGTTCTCATGATCACATCCAGGACAGAGAGAGAACGTGTGTGTGTGTGTGTGTGTGTGTGTGTGTGTGTGTGTGTGTGTATGCAAATGGCATACATCTGCCACACTTGAAGAGTAAGGGTTTGATTCGATTCTTAGCCCTAAACCCTATGGTCCATTTTCCCCTGCAACTTACTGTCATCTAGATTAGATTTCCAAGTCCTTCCCTTAATTACATCCCTAAATTCTGGATTCTTTTGATTCTACTCCTCTTTGTGGCACTTCTCAAGAGACAGGATCTTTCTTTTTTGTGGGAGATCAGACTAGCAAAAGAAGATCTGACTGGTTCCACTCACCCACAGAGGAGATATCGACACAGTGTTCATCACTGGAGTCTCGAGTCATGGCCTCTGTCCGGCTCCTTTTGATGGTTGCCCTTCGAAGCACTATACCAGGGAAGGGGGAGGTCAGTGACGGAACACAAGAACAATCAGATCACTCTGGTCAAAGTTGAGAACTGTGTGCCAGGCTCCTGTGACCCAGGCAGCTGCCTTAAAGCACCTGAGCCATGGTTCTAGAAGCCACCGAAGGTCTATAGAAGCATGACTCCTGTGCTCAGCAACGCCTCAAAAACACACAGGCTGCAGAATCCTCCTAGACCTTATCTACATGCAGTAGGTAAGCAGGCACTCCATATCTATTTGTTCTGGCTCTTCCTAAACAATGCCACTTCCTGCTAATGCAAATGGTCCTAAGATGATCCCTACAAATTTTCAAAGAAGATCCCTATACATGTCACTGGTGTGTGATGGTCTTTTCTTTGTACAGTATCAATCCCACGCCTTAGAACAAAGCAGCTCTTGGATTTCATTCCCATCACTTTAAAAAGCATTTAAATCCATGACTCAATTCCCTTCATTTTAAAGCATGAGAGATTTTATGACAGAGAGGCTTTCCTTTCAAATCCCAAAGCACTCCTCTTTTAGTTCTTTCTCCTCTTTTGATCAAGAGATTGCCAACAGCATAAGAAGGTGCAAAGGCAGTAAAGCGCTGGAGCACTTTCTTACCTTCTAAGGCTGACGTCCCAGCATTTTTATTTTCTTCAGCAAGCATGACTTCCTCTATATGGAAATAAATGGTTTAGTAAATTATCTGTAAATGTCAAATTATTTTGCAAAATGAAAAATCCCCCAGGGATGGCTGTGGCTCTAGGGTGAGAAAGAAAGAGAGAGAAAGAGAAAGAGAGAGAGAGAGAGAGAGAGAGAGCAGAGTTCATAGCTCCACACAGGCACAAGCATCAAAAAGACATCAAGAGTCACAGAGGTAGCGTCTGAGTGCAAATCAGAACAGAAAGGAAGTTCTGTAGGGAGGGGGCTCTTGGTGGTTGATTGGTAAAATTCAGCTCTGTGTCTAATAACACTTGTTGAGAGGAAGAACTGATCTTTTTAAACTAAAATCTCCTAAATTGATAGGAATGAAAGATTTCCATTTCTGTTTTTTCTTCCACCCAGGTTCTGTAAACTTTTTCTAGCAATAGGAGCTTCTCTGGTTTTTCTTGTTTGCGGCACATACAAGGCATATCACGGCACAACACCTACCACCTCGTTCAGGAGATAAGATCACATTTTTGGGCTCCAGCCTGGCTACTTCTTGGAGGGGGAGCAGAGGAAGATGCTAGTGGCCCAGAGGGGCAGGACCTGTGGGCTTGCTTCCTGTCCCCATACCACAGTCTGCCTTGCTTGAGTGAAAGAGGCAGAGTGAATTTGTCCCTTGATAGAACAAAACATAAATATTTGTTTTTTGTCTACCTTCTGGCACAGAGCTCCAAAACCCTTGGAATTTACTGTCCTCTGTGTGCTAACAAGATGACTCATTGTGGGGGAGGCCTGGAGGATCTGGACTGGTCACCAGAAAAACCAACCACAGGATTAGGCTATAACTTTCAGCCGCATTCCTCCTCCTAACTCCCGGAATGGGAGAGGGGCTTGAGAATGTTCAATTGCCAATAGCCAGTGATTTAATCAAGCAGGTCTTACGTAATGGAAACTTCAAAAGCAAAAACAAAAACCCGAGGTGATGGGGATCAGGAAGTTTCAGATTAGTGAACACATCAAGGGAGCACGGAGGCTCTGGGCCCCTCCTCCACTCCTCCACCCCTAGGTATCTCTTCTATTTGTCTGTTCCTGAGTTGAGTCCTTTTTAATAAACTGGCGACAATAAGTATAGTTTTCCTGAGTTCTGGAAGTCATTAGAAGAATTATCTAACCTGGAAGCCTCTAAATTTGCAGCCCAGCAGGCCAAAATGCAGGTCACCTGGGGACTCCACTCATGGATGCTGTGTGAAGTGAGGGCAGGCTCTTGGGGTTGAGTCCCTAACCTGTGGGATCTGCACTAACTTCCAGTAGTGTTTAGTGTCAGAACTGAACTGAATTGTTGGACACTCAGTGGAGAATTGAAGGACCAGCCAGTGTTTGGACAATGATGTGTCTGGTTCTTGGTATTTGGAAAAGAACAAATAGTCCCTTGGATTCTCCTCTTGACCTTCCCAGGAACAGTCCTGCATTCCGGGGAGGCACCATCACCAGCGGGGTACTAGTTTCTAGTAAGACTTGTTTCAAATTAACCTCACTAGCCTCCCTCCAAACTTACAGAATAGCCCTTCTGTCCCATGTCTGGCAGGATTCTGAGTCCCCTTTGGGAGTCATGTGGATGAGCTTGGATCCCTGCCCCCACCTCAGCTGCAGGCGAGGACTCCAGAGGCCTTGAGCAATCATTCCCTAAGATCCCAGCTGCTGGAGAAAAGCCTGCAGCGGGCCCTATTTATTAAACGATGGTTTAATTTAAGCAATTGTAACAAGTAAAAGGACAAGCAGAAGAGGGTAGAGTCATTACCATAATTCCACCTGCATATAAAACTGAGAGTATGTAATGTATTTCCCAGGGAGGGGAACATTTTGCGGCTCCGAGGGTACCATGCCGGATGGCCATTACACCAACTCATAAATGTTTAGCTTTCTTTTTTTAAGTACAGCCTCTGGCAAAACTCTAAGTTAACAGGTTAAGTGTTATTGGTGCTCCTTTATGCAGACATAGAGGGTTTTAAAGTCACTTACAGCCCATGTTGTTTGGAGGGCACCACTTAAAAATTAGGTACTCATTAAAATACGTCACAGTAACATGAATGACCTCAGCCATGGAGTCACATCTGCTGTGTACAGTGCCTGGATGCCTGAGGTGGGCAGATCTGAGGACCCTCAAGGCAGATGGAGGGTGTGTGATGCTGCTGAGCATCTCTGAGAAGTGCTTGAGGGCTCTGGATATGCCGAGGCTGCCCCCCCCGCCCCCACTGCCTTTTGCCAAGTTCTCTTTCGAACTTGAGAGTGTCTTTCCAGGGAAATGTAACCCATATGTCTCTGATTCACTCACACCCCATTTGCAAAGGGAAGGGCCAGGAAGCACAATTTGACGTTGCAGTGCGTCTTTTTTCTTAGAAGGAGAGAGCTGGCTTTGCCAACTGGAAGAAAGCGGAGCCTTGGAATTCTGCGTGTATCTGAAAAGCAGAGCCACGAAGAACAGCATCCTGTGCTGCCTGACCATGAGCGGGGTCACGGACAGGGCGGGGAAGGTTCTTTCCCAGTTCTGCTGCCAGTCTGCTCGCTGGGGTGGTCTGTCAGATGGCTCCTCCACCCAGGGAGCCAAGGACAGTGGGGAACTTCAAGCTGCCTGCCAGACCTGGAGGCAAATCTGCTCAGTAAGGCTGAGTTGCCATTCTGGAAAGGAGGAGGAGAGGTTCACATTCACCCCCACACGAGAGCCTCGGAGAAGAAAGGGCAGATTGGAAGTGCAGTCAGTGGGCACGGTGCATGCCTCCAGAGGCAGCAAAGAAATGCAGATAGTCCTAAATGGGAGGTGGTTTTTAGCTGGCTTTGAAATGGCACTTTTCATCACACACATACTCTCACCCCTGACAGATGATCACAAGTTGACTCCAGAGCTGAGAGAGAGCTTTTGTGTGTCGGTGGTTAGAACCAGAGTGCCATGGTGTCATTCCAAAGCTGCTAGAAAAGAATAAGGCTCAGGCAGCTAAGCATCAAATCATATTCCAAATTTTTCCTGAGAGACCTCACATTTGTGCTACGCTTTCTACCAGGAATAGAGGGGAAAAAATGCTGTCATGTGTATTTTTTTATTAAAATAAATTACTCTTTGCTCAGGATGAAAATACAGATATATAACAGCAATGCAATGCAATCTTTAAAATAATAAGGAAGGCAAATGCATCCATTTTACTGACAGATACGGAGTGATCGATACCCCTCATAAGCAGCTGAGCCACAGTCAAATTTGAATCTGGTGGCTCTGTGGATTAATAAAGTTGTGATAGGTTTGGACCTATCTTCAAGGTGGGGCAAGCACTGTTCTGATGCTGAGCCTCAGCAAGGGACTGGTGACAGTGCAGGGAAAAGAGGAGAGCAGTTCTCACCATCAGCTATAACCCGGCTTACCTCAGTGGCCTCTTGGTGGACCCCCCACACACATACTGCTTCTGACCTTGTCCTTGCCCTCTTGCCCTCGACAGTCTACTCTGGAGGCAGCAACCAAGTGCTTCCTAAAATCTTGCATCAGACCATGTCCCACCTCAGCTCAAAACCCTCCTCCAATGGTTCTTGTCTCACTTTTAGGGAAGCTCCAAACCCCTACGGTGGCCCCTCCTCCCATTACTGCCTCTACCCTATCTTCCTGCTCCTCTCCCCTTACTCGTTCTTCCTTCTGTTCTTGGAATCTTCCTGGCTTACTTCCACACTGGAGCCTTGACGTTAAGATGCCTCCCCTCGGACATTCCCACCACCTCTGCAACTTTAAGTCTTTCACCAAATGGGTCTCTTTGACCTCCCTGTTTAAAATCACAACCTGCCCTACACCCCATAACCTTACCTTGATCTGTTTACCATTGTACTTATCACCTTCTTACAAATTACTTATTTATCTGCCTTCCCTGACGAGAGGGAATGAACTCTGCAAGAAAGGCTCCCTGGGGTGTATGTATCCCAAGAATCTAGACCAGATACTGGCACAAAGCAAAGCCCTCAATAAATACTTGTGGAATGAATGGAGTTTTGTTGCTGCTGCTGTTGTTATTGCTATTATTGTTGTTGTTGTTGTTATTATTATTATTATTAGCAGTAGTGTGAAATGTCACCCACCCAACCTCAGCTCCAGGATTGGGGCTATGTCACTTTTCACTCAGTTCACCTCACTAAAATGCAGGCCTCATGAAGATGTTTGGTGGAAGAAGGGGGACAGTTAGACCCCAGAGGCCAGCAGGGAGCCCACAAGGCCAGTGAGGCAACCAGAGCCTCTCTGTGCTCTGGCCAGCGCTGCCCCTATGCATGGAAGCAGTGGTGGGGGCCTGCGTGCCACCAGGCTCACCTGCTTTGTCTATCCAGGCGCGGTACCCGTTCAGCTCCCGCTCAATCTGCTGCTGCCGCCGCAGTTTCATGAAAGCTCTCCGGTTCTCCACTCTCTCTCTCTCTTTGGCAAACTCCCTGTGGACAAGGAGGGGAAGATTCACGAAGAGTGGATTTGGGTTCAGCTCCACAACCGTGAGGGAGGGGGAAGCAAGGAGAAGCGAGAGGGTGTCTGAGCAGGTGCTCCACCACACCTTGCTCCCCTTTTGCACAGAAATGTTCCTCCTTGGGCCTCATGCAGGAAGCTTTCCCAGATTAGTTCTGTCCCCATCAGCACTAACATCCTCTGAGTGCTCTACTCCGAAAGGTACTTCCTTAATCAAGCGACAAACTATGGTTCAAAATGCTATGTTCTGTTTCCCCAGCTACAACCCAAGCCCTTGGCCCCCCGGGCAGGGGGCACACCTTCCCTTTATGCTTTTGATAACAACAGTGATTAATGTATATGGACCAATTATGTGTCAGCCCTGTATGCAGTGTTTCATACCCATGGACTCATTGAATTCATTCCAGTCACCCTACGAAGTAATAAGCACTATTAAAATGCCTATTTAACCGATGGGGAAACACCAAGGATCAGAGAAGGGAAGTAACTTGCTGGGATCTGAAGTCTAACCACAGCGCCATGCTTCCTCCAGTGTCCTGGATCCTGTAGCACTCCATAAGGGCTGCTACTGGGGACCAAGGGCATCAGTGCCTTGAGGGGCCGAGGGCTGTGTGCAGGTGGCTGGTGCAGGTTAAACAGAAAAGGGAAGGACTCAGAAAGAGGCCCTGGCTTCAACAGCAAGACAGTAGGGAAGATAGGAAGGGAGATAATGGGACAGAGGGAAAGCCAAGGTCAGGGTCAGGAGAAGACACAGTCCAGTGACAGGTGCAAGGGACCAGAGCCACAAGATGATCTAAAGCCTAAAGCTCCAGGGCTCCTGGGTGGCTCAGTGGATGAGCATCTGCCCGTTGGCTCAGGGCATGATTCAGGGGTCTGGGGATCAAGTCCTGCATCGGGCTCCCCACAGGGAGCCTGCTTCTCCCTCTGCCTATGTGTCTGCCTCTCTTTGTGTCTCTTATGAATAAAATCTTTAAAAAAAACGTCTAAAGCCCTATTGGGAAATGGAAGAGAGAAGAGACACAAGAGCTCCATAGCAGAAAGGAAGATGAAAAAATTCAATGGTTGAACAGCTGGGGATAAAGAAATACTCATTTGCTAATACGGCTCTCCAGCAACCACCTCTACCAATGCCCTTCTCATCACCAAACACCCTTCGAGGCTACAATGCCCCTTCCTAATGTAGCACTTCTCCGGCCAGGGCTCAGCCACACTCTCACTGCCCTGGATGATGCTGCACTTTTTCGAGGTGTTCCCCACCACCAAAGAGGCACAGTCTGAAGTTGAGGGAGCCCAGCACCCACTGTGCATCCTGTCACCTACTCCCTTGTTGCGTATTTGTTCAATAGGACTTCAAATCCACTTGCTTATGACTTAAGTGAAGTTGTTTTAATCCACTTGTATATGACAAAGAGAAAAAAAAAGTTGTATTTAGAATTGTTGTTTTTAAAGATTTTATTTATTATTTGAGAGAGAAAGAATGAATGAAACAGAGAGAGCAGAAGCAGAGGGAAAGGCAGAGGGAAAGAGAGAAGCAGATCCCTCACTGAGTAGTGAGCCCAACACGGAACTCGATCCCAGGACCCCAGGATCATGAGCTGAGCCCAAGGCAGATGCTTAACCAAATGAGCCACTCATGTACCCTGGGAAATAAAGTTGTTTTGATAGAAGAATGAATTAAGTTATGTCAGTATGTTACCATCTCATCTGTTCCTGCCCATCAGAACTCGGTGGCTCAGCTGCCAAGGGGCCACACCAGGGCCTTAACCATAAAAGCATATGAAGAAACCAGCGTGGCAAGAGAACATTAAACTGTGAACACGGAGTTTGTGAGGACCATCCAAGAGTACCCGGTCTGAGCAAGGCTACACTCTGCTATCTAAGACAGCTCCTTGAAGGCCTTGGGGCAATGACCTCCAGCCTTCATAAAGGGGACACTTCTTTTTCCTTTTACGATTTATTTTTTAAATTCCAGTTAGTCAATATACAATATTATATTAGTTTCAGGTGTACAATATAGTGATTCAACAGTTCTATACATTACTGGGTGCTCATCAAGATAAGCATACTCTACTTCCTCTTCATCTACCTTACCCATCCCTCCCCCACTCCCCTCTGGTCACCATCTGTTTTTCTCTACAGTGAAAAGTCTATTTGGGGGGTTTTTTGGTCTCTTTTTTTTTCTTGGTTCATTTGTTGTGTTTGTTTCTTAAATTCCCATATGAGGGGGATCCCTGGGTGGCTCAGTGGTTTAGTGCCTGCCTTCGGCCCAGGGCATGATCCTGGAGTCCCGGGATTGAGTCCCACATCAGGGTCCCTGCATGGAGCCTGCTTCTCCATCTGCCTGTGTCTCTGACTCTCTCTCTCTGTCTCTGTGTCTCTCATGAATAAATAAATAAAATCTTTTAAAAAAAATTCCCATATGAGTATTTGTCTTTATTTCCCTTGGCATTTTACTCTCTTGCTCCATTCATGTTGTTGCAAAGGGCAAGATTCCATTCTTTTTATGACTGAATAATATTCCACTGTGTGTGTGTGTATGTGTGTGTGTATTCTTCCTTATCTATTCATTAATGAATGGATATTTGTACTGCTTCCATAATTTGAATATTGTAAATAATACTGCAATAAACATAGGGGTGAATATATCTGTTCAAATTAGTGTTTTTCTATTCTTTGGGTAAATACCTAGTAGTGAAATGACTGGTAGTTTTTAAATTTTTTTGAGGAACCTCCATACTGTATTCCACAGTGGCTGTAACAGTCTGCATTCCCACCAATAGTGCATGAGTGTTCCTTTTCCTCCAGATCCTCCCCAACACTAATTTCTTGTGTTTTTGATTTCAGCCTTTTCTGACAAGTGTGAGCTGATATCTCATCATGTTTTCCCTGATGAGTGATGTTGAGCATCCTTTCATGTGTCTGTTGGCCATATGGATGTCTTCTTTGGAGAACTGTCTGTTCATATCTTCTGCCCATTTTTAAATTGGATTACTTGTTTTTTCAGGAGTAGAGTTGTATAAGTTCTTTATATATTTTGGATACTAACCCTTTATCAGATATGCTGTTTGCAAATATCTTCTCCCATTCCTTAGGGTTTTAGTTTTATTGTTTCTTTTGCTATGCAGATGCTTTTGTTTTGATGTGATCCCAGTATTTTTGCTATTGTTTCCCTTGCCTCAGAAAACTTATCTAGAAAGATGCTGGTTATGGCTGATGTCAGAGAAATTATTGCCTGTGCTCTTTCCTAGGACTTTTGTGGTTTCAGTTCTCACATTTAGATCTTTTAATACATTTTGAGTTTATTTTTGTGTATGGTGTAAGAAAGTGGTCCAGTTTTATTCCTTTGCAAGTAGTTGTCCAGTTTTCCCAACACCATTTGTTGAAGAGACTGTTTTTCCCATTGGATATCCTTGCCTCCTTTGCCAAAGACTGACTATATAATTGTGGGTTTATTTCTGGGCTACTGTTTTCCATTGATCTTTTGTACCAGTACCACACTATTTTGATTATACATGTTTGTAGTATATCTTGAAATCTGGGATTGTGATACCTGCAATTTTATTCTTTTTTTTTTATGATAGTCAGAGAGAGAGAGAGAGAGAGAGAGGCAGAGACACAGGCAGAGGGAGAAGCAGGCTCCATGCACCGGGAGCCTGATGTGGGATTCGATCCCGGGTCTCCAGGATCGCGCCCTGGGCCAAAGGCAGGCGCCAAACCGCTGCGCCACCCAGGGATCCCTGCAATTTTATTCTTAAGACTGCTTTGGCTATTTGGGGATCTTTTCCATTTCCATACAAATTTTAGAGTTGTTTGTTCTAGTATTGTGAAAATTGTATTTTTGTAGAGATTTCACTAAATCTGTAGATTATAGGCATTTTAAACAGTATTGGTTCTCCCAATCCACAAGCATGGAGAATCTTTGCATTTCTATTTGTTGTCTTTAATTTCTTTTATCAGTGTTTTACAGTTTTCAGAGTACAGGTCTTTCACCTCGTTGGTTCAATCTATTCCTAGGTATATTGTTATTTCTGGTGCAATCATAAATGGAATTGTTTTCTTAATTTCTCTGCTACTTCATTATTTGTTTATAGAAATGCAATTTTCATATATTGATTTTGTATCCTGTGACTTTACTGAATTAATTTGTCAGTTCTAAGGCAGCCCGGGTGGCTCAGTGGTTTAGCGCCACCTTTGGCCCAGGGCATGATCCTGGAGACCCAGGATCAAGTCCCACATTGGGCTCCCTGCATGAAGCCTGCCTCTCCCTCTGCCTGTGTCTCTGCCTCTCTCTCTCTCTCTCTCTCTCTCTCTCTCTCTGGGTCTCTCATGAATAAATAAATAAAATCTTTAAAAAATAATAATAATTTGTCAGTTCTAATAGTTTTTTGATGAAGTCTTTAGGGTTTTCTATATATAGTATCATATCATCCACAAATAGTGAAAATTTTACTTCTGCCTTAGCAATTTGGATGACTTTTATTTCTTTTCTTGTCTAGTTGCTGTGGCAAGGACCTCCAGTAACATACTGAATAAGAGTGGTGACCATGAATATCCATAAAGGTGACACAGGCAGTGGTGAAAGTCATATAGCAGCCCCATAGAGAACATCTTGCCCATCAACACCAGCTCCCCTGTTCCCTAAGAACATACTCTAACAATACAGGACTTTTACTTTTGCACTGGTAGCTGGATATCAGTTCTCAGTTGGCTAAGCTGTCACTCCCCAGGACCAACTTGTATAAAGGTACACCTCAACTAAATCTGTATTTTGATATTCACCTCCCCTTACCTGGAACAATAGTGTGATCAATCTGTTATTGATTTGGAGTAATTCTTTATTGGCTTATTAAGAGAAATTATCCTGTATACTATTGGCTTATAAAATTCCTGCAGTAATGTCCACAATAGCCAAACTGTGGAAGGAGCCTTGGTGTCCATCAAAAGATGAATGGATAAAGAAGATGTGGTCTAT